AGCAAACGCGTGCAACGTGCCTCCTGCTAACGTGCCGATCTGCAATTTACTTCACGATCGAATCGTCGATTGCGAGAGAAGTAAATATAAAACATCGCGTCGTTTCTTCCAATCGAGAGCTCTTATCCTCGTTCGACCGCAGGCGCACGTTCCCAAAGGTAGAGTGAAATATTCATAGAGCAGGCATAAATGAATCTTCGATAAACTCGGATAAACTGAGGAGAGGAGGATGGAAATGATGGGTGAAAGAACAGATGGAAAGTAACTCTGAATAATCACTGTGACGAACAAGTATTCGCGATAGATAGATATATATGGAGTTTAATTTTCATTTCTTGGTTAATTTTCTATTGCTGGATCTGGTCACGAGTGTTGGAATTTATTAACGGAAACGTCACTAGTGAGTTGGAAACAAAATCGGATGAATTCGTTTCCAGAGTCTTGTCTCTTTTCCTAATCCTAATGAGTCATATAGATATAAGTATGACTCAACATTTTATTGACATATTATACAGACGAGGTATAGACCATTGCATCTTACGGAGTTTCGTTTGTGCTCATATTAAATTCTATCAGACTGAACTTTTCCAGAAGCATGCTATTGCTATTGAGTAACATGAAATCAAAAAGTTTTCTTGAAAAGTGTATCGTATAATCACGACTTGTTACAATGAACACATTCTAGACAAAGTTATAAATAGGCTACGGATTTTCGCACTTTTGAGAACACGATTTTTAAAAACACCGAATTTGGATAAAAAAATTATTTCTCGTACCAAATATTATAAAAAGCAATTTGAATATTTTATATATATATATATTTTCGTATCACGTGTATTCTGTGCGATTTTTTATCTTCGGATTTCCCGTAAATGCATAAAAATTCGCAGTCTAGTTATAAATTGTAAAGGAACATTCTTCAAAGTAATATAGAATTGAATTGTGTTCAATCGAAGATTCAGTGGTGAGTTAGTATCAATATTTAACTCATCAATAGTTTTCACGAACAGTATATGTGGAAAACCTAACGTAACTTGTTAAACTTAAGCGTTTGCTTATAATACTGATATTTTCCCGGAATCATTCAAAAGTTTTCCAAAAAAAAAAAACTCAAGAATTTTTCAAAAAGCGACTAAGCAAACTTCTTTCTTCTTAAGGATTAAATCATTTAATCGAAAATCAAAAAGGACTGAAAAGATTAGAATGCTTCATTTTTTAACACATAGTGTACTATATTATTTTTTGATATTTGATTTCAGTATCTAGAGTCACATTTGTACTAGACAATTGCAACTGAAAGGCCGTTCAACCAAACATTAGCCAGGTTGTTCAACCAAAAATGGACCAGGTTGTTCAACCAAAAATTGACCAGGTCGTTCAACCAAAAATAAACTAATTGCTTCTGGTTGAACGATCAAAAGTCATTTCAACTTGCTTGACACTGTATTTGTACGTAGCTTACGTATATTGGTTTCGTTTTTATATTTCGGAGTGACGATCTCTCGTTCTGTCACGTGTCGATTAAAACTGGCATTTATATTAGAAAATGGCTCCGTTCTGGGAACAATATTAGTGACATATTTTTCTATTTGAGTTTGCAAACGTTACGAAACAGAGAGCTAAAAGGGACTAAATGGACCGGATGTTTTAAACGGTGCCATGAGTTGCCAATATCTATAATATAAACAGTTTTTATGTGATTTTTGCATAGATAGATCCATTATTCAACTACGTATTGAAAGTACCATTTTTCTAGTTTTATAAATAAAATATCTTTCAAATATAGAAAGAGCAACTATAAAATTTTTTCCCACTAAAACCAAGGGAACGAAATTGAGGACATTGTTTTCAACAAATGAACTTTTACGGAACATTGATTGCAAAGCTTCGTTAATAAACTTCTAACTAAACAAAAGTGATCATACGTGGCTATTTTCTCAGATTAAAAAGTCGATTTTATTTCGAGCAAGTGCTAAAAGAACTTCTAGGGAAGGAAATTTGACATCTCACTCTACAATACATTTGTCTATCGTATTGTTATAAAATTTATAATATTTTATATAAATATATTTTATACAAATATATTTATTTGTACAAATAGAAATTCTTACGACTCTGGTTATAATATCACAATATAAGTTGCAATATCAACTACGCCAATTTTTTTTCAGATTAAAACAATTTTATTTCAAGCAA